CACACACACACACACACACATACATACACACACACATACATACACACATAGTGGGGGAAATAAGTATTTAAAATGTCACCCTTTTTCTCAGAAAACATATTTCTGAAGGTGCTGTTAACTTGAAATTTTCCATGGATGCTGGTAACAACCAAATATATCCAAAAATGCAAAGAAAACAAAACTAAATAGTTTAAAAATAAAATTGTGTAATAAAATTTAAAAACCCAGGAAAAAAGGAAGGTGTAGAAAGACATGGAAAGCCCAGACAGCGGCTGAAATCTCTCAGTAGTTCTTCAGCAACCCTCTACCCTTCCTCAGTGTAAATGAATATCAGCTGCTTCAGTCCAACATCTACATTAGCAGGAGGGTGAAGATGAAACCAGAGTGGACATTTCAGCAAGACAATGATCCAAAACACAGCCAAGGAACTCTCATATGCTTTCAGAGAAAGAAAATCAAGCTGTAGAATGGCCCAGCCAATCACCTGAACCGACTCCAATAGAAAATACAAAGTAAAGCTCAGATTTGATAGACGAGACCCACAGAAGCATCAAGATTTTGACACTCGATTGAAGTCTGAGAAACTCACACCTGAGTTATGCATGTGACCATTCTCCATATGAGAGGCGTCTTTAAGCTGCCGTCACCAAAAAGCCTTTAAACAATGTTTGTGATTATATCATGTTTGTGTTTTTACTAAAATCTGGTTCAATTCCATGTCAACAGCTCCTTTAGAAACATTATTCCCAGGAAAAAACATGACATGTTCATACTTGTTCAATACTTATTTTCCCTGCTGTATGTAGTAAGCTTACTAGCTATCCTTGTAATAATTGACAATGCACACCATAAAACACTGGGTTGTATTAAGCCAGTATTGGGTCAAATATGGAGAATCCAACTGCTTAAACGCCAGTTAATAGAAAAAAAAAACTTTAGTTTGGGCATATTTGACCCAACACTGACGAAATCCAAATGGAGAGTATTTTGACATACAGTACAGTATTGTGACAAGCATTAAGTGGGAATGCTTTACTTGCTTATATGTATTTTTGCATATGAACACACAGAAACTCACCAGGAACGCTGGAAATGCAGAGGAAGCTTTTTTCTTAATTTCTGCATTGCATTTCTTCACAAGCAGCAAAATGATGCCGGTAATGACCAGCAGCGTCACACAGACTCCCAGCAGCGAATACAGAAACACTGTGGTTGGAGGATCTGTGTGGAGAAACCATGAACATCACTCAGTTACATACAGTTAAGTCAAAATTATTCACCCTCCTGTAATTTTTTTTAATTTCTTTTTAAAATTTTTCCCAAATGATGTTTAGCAGAGCAAGGAATTTTTCACAGTATTTCCTATTTTTCCTTTGGTTATTGTCTTTTGGTCTTGTTTTATTTTGGCTAAAATGAAGGCAGTTTTTAATTAAAAAAAAACATTTTAAGGTCAATATTATTAGCACTATTAAGCTATATTTTTGGTTTTATTCTAAACTTACTTTATCTGAAAAAACCTATGAGATGATTCAGTAGTTGTGTGATTATTAGTCATACCAATTCAGTGAAGGCTGTTAAATGTTCTGTTTATTATGCAGCACTATATATATATATATATATATATATATATATATATATATATATATATATATATATATATATATATATATATAAACACACACACACACACACACACACACCGTCCACTTTATTGTAATACAAATTTCTAATCAGCCAATCACATGGCAACGACTTAATTCATTTAGGCATGTAGATATGGCCAAGATGATCTGCTGCAGTTCAAACTGAGCTTCAGAATGGGAAAGAAAGTGGATTTAAGTAACTTTGAACGTGATATATTTGTTGGTGCCAGATTGGTTGGTTCTGAGAATTTCAGAAACTGCTGACTTTATCATCCAGCGTCTGATGAATCCCCCCCAACCAACTCAAATGGCCTCCAATGTCACCAGTTCTCAATCCAATACAGCACCTTTGGGATGTGGTGGAATGGGAGATTCACATCATGGATGTGCAGCCAACAAATCTGCAGCAACTGCGTGATGCTATCATGTCAATATGGAGCAAAATCTCTGAGGAATATTTCCAGTACCTTGTTGAATCTCTGCCATGAAGGATTAAGGCAGTTCTGATGGCAAAAGTCGGTCCAACCCGGTACCAGTAAGGTGTACCTAATAAAGTGGCCGGTTAGTGTATATGTGTTTATATATATATATATATATATATATATATATATATATATATATATATGCGCGTGTGTGCTTATCTGTCACAAACACATTCTTGAGTGGTTGGCATCATCTTGTGACTGAATATTAATAATTATAATAAAAATGATTAGTATGTTAGTGAATGCTACTTTACATGATCCCTTATTAGTAGTTTTTTCACACTTTTATGCACTCTAAAAAAGTTGAGTTATTTATTTAACCAAATGGTTGAGTTATCAAATAGTCGGGTTATTTATTGATAACTCAACCAGTTGGGTTACAATTTAGAATTTCAACAGTCAATTGATTTAACTGACACAGATCAGCTGTATTAATATGCGTACGTAATGTTGTTTTTGCATTAACACAATAATATTGTTGTTATTTCTTTTATCAAATTCCTCTCCGTGTCGTGTTTTTAATTATTGATGATACAAACGCACGCTTTATAGCTGATCTATATTAAATCGCTTTCTCTGCCTCCCGTGTTCATCTCTGCGCTTTTTTTGGAGGAAGTGATACACATATTTAGGATATCCGGTCAAATTCTCACCTTTAGGACCCAGCGGAGACATTTATTTAATTACACAGTCATAATTATAAAATTAAATCAAAATTAAATTAAATTATAATATTAAAATTAATAATTATAAAATTTAATTAAAACATGAATATAAAATTAAATTATAAAATTAATAATCTATAGTTGGGTTGTATGTTGGGGTATTTTTAACCCAACTATTTTAACAGAGTGATTTTATTGCGCATTGACATGTATTATGGTGCTGATTTTAGTTATTGTATCCTATGATTAAAATTTTTTTAGCAGCTTGATCAACTTTGAGTTAATATCTGTAATTTGCTACCAACAAATTAGATCAAGTTCAATCCGTATTTGTTCAGAATTGCGAATACATAACGATTGGTAAAACACTGCTCTCCTGTTTGCCGGATTTAAAGAGACGCAAAAACCTTCAAAGATGAAAGCACTTAAACGCAATAAATATTACAGAAAACAATATTAATTTATAGCGACAGACATTTAAACTTCATGGAATTGTACTTACAGTCTCTTAATTCTCCTGTGTAACAGCTTCTTATGTTATTGAAGCTTATCTGTCCAATATCTCCATCCAGATAAACGCAGTAACGGTCTTGGATCTCAGGAAAGCTCATGTACGCCTCGCAAGTTCTGTTATTTATTTTACAGGTGAACTCTTTTGAATCCTGTGAAGAAAACAATAAACAAACCGATCAATAAAACACAGTGGAGTTACAGTGATTGGGCTTCAGCTGAGAATATAAATGTTATTGCTCATGAACGTTCTCACAGTTAAAATCATTGAATGTTTGGAAAAATGACACTTTAGTTATGTGTTTGTGTTCAGCAGTTTTGTGTCATTTTTTGAGTATTTTTAAAAATGTGCTATACATTTCAGGTTGATTTTAGTTAGCTTTATTAATATTTTTACTACTTTTGGATATATTTTTTTATTATTATTTAATAAAACAGGGAGAAAATAGCTTTTAAAAGTTCTTAGCAATGCACATTACTAATTAAAAGTTGAGTTTTGACATTTACAGTAAGAAAATAAAACAATTATCATGTAAACGTAATCTTGATATTCTAATAATGTTTCATTTTTCAATACAATATATTTGTACCATTCATTCATTAATTTTCTTGTCGGCTTAGTCCCTTTATTAATCTGGGGTCGCCACAGCGGAATGCACCGCCAACTTATCCAGCACATGTTTTACGCAGTAGATGCCCTTCCAGCTGCAACCCTTCACTGGAAAACATTCATACACACTCATTCACACACATACACTATGGATGATTTAGCCTACCCAATTCAACTGTACCGCATGTCTTTGGATTTGTGGGGGAAACCCACGCGAACAGGGGAAGAACATGCAAACTCCTGTATTTGTACATACTGCCTAAAATATGACATTTTGTGCTCCAAAGTCTTATTTGTTAAGATATTTTTATTTAATTTCCATTTATTTTTATTTTTTTTTAGTTTAGCAGTTAAAATAACAAGCATCAGTACTTTATTTTTAGTTTGAATTTCAACTATTGTAAGTTTAATTCATTTTCAGTTTCTATTTCATTTCAACTTATGAACATGTTTTCTGACCAATACTTTTAATCTTGGATTCAGTTTTCATTCATAAAAAAAAAAAACCTTGGTTTGAAGTCTTTGAAAGAATTGAATGCTTTTATTCAACAAAGATAAATTGATTAAATGTAAAAGCAAAGAGAATTCTATTTAAAATAAATAATGCTTGTTTTCTATGGAAAAATGATATGAAAGTTTTATTAAACTAATAATATTTACATTATTTTTGAATATAGATTTTTAGAGTGCTTTATTTTTCATGAATGATTTGATTTTGATAAGCTAAAATTTGCTTTTGAAAATAATTAATTTGTAACACTCAAAGCTTTGGAAAAGGTGTATCAAAGATGGCTTCAAGGTGGTTTCTAAAAATCAAGGTTTTATTGCCACTAAAATGTTCTGTTATACCGTTCCCAAGGCATAAGTAAGGTTTTTAATATCATTTATTTAGCCTGACATGTTTACTGTTCCAAAAGAGGTTTCTTAAAATATGTTGTGTTCCTTAAAATAAAATTGTGTTCAATGGGGAAATTTATTTATTTTAGTTTTTTTTTAACCCAGACATTGAAAAAACGAGCAGTAATCACAATACTGTGATACTGTGAAACCGTGGTATTTTTATCCAAGGTTATCATACCATCAAAAACTTATACTGGCCCATGGCTAATCTTTTCAAAAATAAAACAAGCGTTCTCATTTAGCAGATGATTGATTATAAAACTTGTTTAGCATGCTGTCCTGGAAGAGAGCCTTGAGCTCATAAGATCCTCGAGCCCGGGGCTCCTTCTCGTTTGTAGGACTAGAGGGTAGTTTGAGCTCGGGTAGATCTCCAGAACTCCCGCACTTATTTATAGCAAATTAGGGATTGCTATGGAGAGATCCACTGCTGATTAGGAGCTCATGTATGGTGGCAATTTGGTTTGGTCACATGTCTGGATTGTGGCAGGAACCCGGAGAAACCACACGAGCACAGGGAGAACATGTAAACTCCACACAGAAATGTCGGCTGGCCAGGCAAGGACTTGAATCAGTGACATTCTTGCTGTGAGGCAACAGTGGAAACCACAGGGCCGCCGTGCGGAAAAGGGGGGAGGAGTAGGGGTGGAAGGGGGATTCTTCAAGACGATGTTAACCTAGGTAAGATAACTGGTTATTTAGAGTTAGGAATCATCCAATTGGTGAATCATGCGTTAACTTGTGTGGGACCAGCTGTGATCAATCATAAGCATGTGATCCTCTAGAAATCAGTTTATAAATAAATTTCCCCTTAAATAAATCAATCTTTGTTACAGTCAGACGCTGAAGTAACCTTTACCGTGTCTGTTGTGATAAAGTATGTCAGATGTTCAGTGAGGTTGCCCAGCACCGGTGTGTTTCTGTACAGATGCAGAGGGTTGATGAACTGGACGTGAAGTTTGTTGTTTCTTGGAGAAAGTTTAACTTCTGGGAAATCCAAACGGCCTGAGAACAATACACATTATAGGAAATACTGTCAAAAATTCCTTGGTATCATCTGTATCATTAGGGAAATATAAATAAAAAGACAGGAGGACGAATAATGACTTCGACTGTATACTGAAGATGTTTGCGATGATAGATGATCATGTAAAATACAGACTTAACCAACACTTACACTTAATTTTGCTGCTTCCATGTTGATTGAAGGTGAATTGAATTGACGAGGACGATATTAACCTATGTTCGTTCCATAATGCCTTCACAGTCACATTATAGTCATTATACGCTGCTCGAGACAGCAATCTGGATATGTTTAGAAATCGATTTGTCGTCTCATCACGTTTCCTGGAACACAAATAAAACATTATAGCTCATGACAGCTGAAACACAGATTACATACACAACATAATGGCTTGACTGCTATTCAGACCCTCCAGGACTTCAACAGTCGCTGAATATAATGTCGCTAAATTTTGTGGAGCTCACAATTAGTTTTAATTATGGTAGATTTCCTGCATATGTTTGGCAGTCAGGATCCTGTTCACATTCAAAAATATTATAGCATTCATGAATGGATTGTGGTGGCTCTGTGGTTAGCACTGTCACCTCACAGCAAGAAGGTCGCTGGTTCGAGTCCCAGCTAGACCAGTTGGCATTTCTGTGTGGAGTTTGCATGTTCTCCCTGTGTTGGCATGGGTTTCCTCAGGGTGCTCCTGTTTCCCCCAAAGTCCAACACAAGCGCTATAGGGGAATTGATGAACTAAATTGACTTTAATGCATGTGTTTGTGTGTGTGTGTGTGTGAATGAGTGTATGGGTGTTTTCCAGTACTGAGTTGCAGCTGGAAGGGTGTAAAACATATGCTGGAATAGTTAGTGGTTCATTCCTCTGTGGTCACCCCTGATAATCAGAGATTAAGCCGAACGTAAATGAATGAATGGATTGTGCTCGTCCATGTCAATGCGCGCTTGTTCGTATGTGATCTGCGTCATGTGACGTTATCGAAATGTGCACGTCCTGCTTGAGTGTAGCGCTAGCCACGAGAGTTTATCAATCGCTAGACTTCTATGTATTGTATATTATGACTGAACAATATTGGAAAAATCTAGCATTGCAATGTTTTGTTGTTCTGCGATAAATATTGTGATATGAATACAATTTAAACAGACGACTTGAACATCTCTATCTGGAAAGAATGGATTATTTTAGACTGATTAGGATGATCCTTGTATCTGCATAAAATCTAACAAACAATTGAATCTACTAGTTAATCTACACATCAAACACACTAAAGAAAACGTTACAATTGACACAAACAGCGTTTTATCGTTTTACGTGTCTAACGGTATTCAGGTAAAGCAATTGAATAATACAAATTTAAATAATTCAATAAAATTAATGGTTATTAAAGTTACTAATATTACACAGGCCTCAAAAACAAGTGCAAATGGTAAATGATAAGACGCACTCAGTATCGCATATTGCATATCGCATATCTGCCATGTGACTATTGCGAATGATTACATTGCGATATCGATGCTGAAACAATATATTGTACAGCCTTATTGCATAGACGCATCTGTCATTATCAACATAGCTATTTATCTCTTTTGCTTTATGTATTTGTGCTTTGTTTGTGTTTTTTCTCTCTCGCTCTGTTCTCCGATATCTGCTTTCATTGTTCCCAGGTTCCGTTCATTTGCCAATCCCCGATTGTGTCACTCTTACGTCACATCCAATAAGCAAGGACACCCGATCTAACAGCGCTCGCTAGACCACTCACCAGCCCCTTCTCTTTCCTTTTCTTTTCCCGCTTGTTTGTGTTCGTGTGATGCGTGCGTTTAGAAAGAACCCCGTCTAACCGTGTATTTTGTTGTTGCCCGTTTCTGTGTGCATGTTATCAGTCCGTTATTCGTATATCATTCTCAGTTTACGTTGTTTACGAGGCTTGGACAGGTAGGAAGGTCACGTGACATACATTTTGCAACACTTACGACTACTCTTCTGTATAGTACATTAGGTTAGGGGCGAGCGCCACTTCTTGTACTTTTTGGATAGATAGAGTAGATAGTTAGGACTGGGAAGAATCTATGCGCGTTAATGATTTTGTTTTGACATAGTTAGTTAGCCAGATGCTTCTGGGAAGTTAGATTTAGTTTGGGTTTTGTTCTTTTCATTTCTTTAGCGCCGCCCGCGTCCCTTCTGCCAGCTCTCCTGTTTTTTCCATCTTTGTGTTTGTCTAAGTGTTGTATATATTGTAAATAGTATATTTTTGTCTTTTTCTCTATTTTGGATTAATTTGTTGTTTTTGTTCCCTGTTGGGAATTGTAAATAAGCACATATTTTTGGTATTACTTTGGTTGTCTTTTGCACTTATTCACTGTTTGTATAAATATATTTTAATTACCTTTAAATGTCAAACCCCACCATCCCCTAGACTAACATCAGGGGTTTGTAACATTTTGGGGGCTCGTCCGGGATAATTTAACCCATCTCTCTTTCACTCACACAGCATGTAAACCATTAAACAACACGATCGACTTTGCATTTATTTTCAAACAACTGATTTTCTTTTTTAACATGCAAATACAGCATGCTTTGGGTGGAAACTCTCGTTTTTTTCTGGGTTTCCTTTATGTAAATTGCAGAGATCAATGACTGCTGAGGTAAAAAAAAAAAGACTAATGAATTAAGATGTGAAAATTGTGTATATTTGGTATAAGCAAAACAGCAAAAGAAATAGCAAAATATTTGCCACAAATTTGTGAAAACTCACCACATTTTAATCACAAAACTCGCTTATTTTTTTTCCAAAATCTTGGAGGGACTGGATATTATTTGGGAACACCTAATTTGAATGTTATCACTCGATTGAATAGGCATTATTAGATTATAGATATGGGCCAGTGGGGCCTTCTGTGCCTACTAGTAGGCTTAGAAGGCTGATATCATCCCTTCACATGGTTAATGAGCTATACTAATAGAGAAGACTCCAGATCTAGATCTGTTTTTAAATTACTGTGATGGTTGGGTTTAGAGTTGGAGTAGGGGCAGACGTTAATAAAATACAATTAATGGAAAATTTAATAAATAATATTAAAGAATTTTGTGGTTAATCAACTATACTAATAAAGAAAACTCCAGATCCAGAACTGTGATGGTTGGGTTTAGGGTTAGATGTTAATACAATACAATTAATGGGAAGTTTTATAAATAATATAAATTAATCTCGTTAACAGCCGCAGCTGTATGTGATCTATAGCTGATTAACCATGTAGATGGATGATAACAGCCTTCTGAGCCTACCAGTAGCCTACCCTAGTGGCCCATCAGCTGATAACCACTGATAACTCCAATTCAATAAAGTGATATCATTCAAATCGGCTGTCAGGACTAAAACGAGCATTTAAACATGATGATTTACCTCTGTTTGAGTTGATCATTGACCTCCACCTGGAAGCTCACACCGTGTCTGGTGTCAGGATAGTCCCATCGTATTTCAACTCCATAGTTGTCGCAGAGAATAGACAAATTAGCCGGAGAAGGATGACTAAAAGATGGCTGACTCACAGCTGAAACGAAAAGAAAACCATGTTAGCCTTTGATCATTATTTATGACCACCTGATTTTTGTGTATATTACATTTTTTATAATACTTCATGAAACAATGCTCATCATTTGCATTTAATCAGACGGACGCTTTTATTCAAAGCGACTTACAAATGAGGACAACAGAAGAAATCAAAGCAGTAACAACACCAAAAAAAAGGAAATACAATGCCATTTATGTCTGTGAAAGTCAGAGCCAGGTGGTGCTTAGAGAGTGAACGATTTTAGATTTTGCCGATACCTTACATTCATTACATTAATTTCTATTAACTCAGACTGGACGGTCTACTCCATCAGAAAATGACCCTCAGCAATTGTATAATAGTTCTGAAACCTTTATAATTACAACAACATATTTATAAAAAGCTTTTACAGGGATTATATTCAGGTGACTCTTCCCAGTCCTCTCATTCTCTTTCCTGGCTCTCATGATAATTAATCATGAGTCAAGAATCATCTAGTTTTTCTTCTCCTCCCGGCGGCTCCATCATTGAAACACCCACACACACTCACACATTCATTAATCTGTTCAACTTATGCCAGTTTCAGTGTGCTGCTGTGTAAAATGACAACCCTTTATCTGATCCTTTTAGCACTTTGCACACAGTAAATGACTTCAGGTCTGTTTTAAATAGCAGTTAAGGATGTTTTTAAAAACTCTGGCAGAGACCATTTATTCCGCTGTTATTATGTTTGTCACTTTATTTTATTTTAATGTACAATTATTAAACCATTAACTAAGACAATAAGCTAAATAAACAAATGATTATCTGCTCATTAATAGTTAATAAGCTTGGAGTTGGATTTTGGTATTTGGTAAATTAGTGATGTAAAATAAGATCATGCTTTATAAATACTAATAAACACTTAATGTTTTGATAATAGGCAGGTAATAAGCACATAATATTAATATACAGTGCATCTGGAAATTATTCATAGAGCTTCACTTTTTGCACATTTGTTTTATGTTCCAGCCCTATTCTAAAATGCATTTTGCTCCATACTTTGTTGATGCTTCTTTGGCACCGATTACAGTCTCACGTCTTTATGAATATGATGCCACAAGCTTGGCACACCTGTCTTTGGGATTTTTTGCCCATTCCTCTTTGCAGCACCTCTCAAGCTCTATCATGTTGGATGGGAAGTGACGGTGTACAGCCATTTTCAGATCTCTTCAGAGATGTTCAATAGGATTTAGGTCGGGGCTCTGGCTGGGCCACTCAAGGACATTCACCGAGTTGGTGTGATCCACTTCATTGATATTTTTGGGTCATTGTCCTGCTGGAAGATGAACCGTCGCCTCAGTCTGAGGTTAGGAGCACTCTGGAATAGGTTTTTATTCAGGATGTCTCTGTACATTGCTGCATTCATCTTTCCCTCCATCCTGACTAGTCTTCCAGTTCCTGCTGCTGAAAAACATCCCCACAGTATGATGCTGCCACCACTATGCTTCACTGTAGGGATGGTATTAGCCTGCTGATGAGCGCTGCCTGGTATTTCTCCAAACGTAACGCCTGGCATTCACTCCAAAGAGTTCAATTTGAGTCTCATCAGACCAGAGAATTTTGGAAAATTCAAGGCGGGGAGTGGCTTCTGTCTGGCCACCCTACCAGATAGGCCTGATTGGTGGATTGCTGCACAGATGGTTGTCCTTCTGTAAGGTTTTCCTCTCTCCACAGAAGAAAGCTGAAGCTCAGACAGAGTGACTATCGGGATATTGATCACCTCCCTGAATAAGGCCCTTCTCCCCCAATCACTCAGCTTAGACGGCCGGCCAGCTCTAGGAAGAGTCCTGGTGCTTCCCAACATCTTCCACTTACGGATGATGGAGGCCGCTGTGCTCATTGGAACTTTCAGAGCAGCAGAAATGTTTCTGTAAACTTCCCCAGCCTTGTGCCTCGAGACAATTTTGTCTCTAAAGTCTACAGACAATTCCTTTGTCTTCATGCTTGGTTTGTGTTTTGACATGTCAACCCAGGGATATAGACGAGTATATTCCTTTTCAAATCATGTCCAATCAACTGAATTGACCACAGGTGAACTCCAAATTAGCAGCTGAAACATCTCAAGAATGATCAGTGGAAACAGAAGCTGAGCTCAATTTAGAGCTTCACAGCAAAGGCTGTGAATACTGATGCACATGTGATTTCTCAGCTTTTTTATTTTTAATAAATTTGCAATAATTTCAAAAGCTCTTTTTTCTACATTGTCATTATGGGGGATTGTGTGTAGAATGTTGAGGAAATAAATGAGTTTAATTCATTTCGGAATAAGGTTGTAACATAAAATGTGGAAAAATAAAGTGCTATGAATACTTTCCGGATACACTGTATTACTTTAATTAAGGCAGGTAAAAAAGTGTCACCTGTTTTTCACATTTGCATTTTGCTCTTTTTATGAATTTTCATATTGTTTTTAATGCAAGTTTTATGATATTTATGGTATCATTATGATATTTATTTTAATATATATATATATATATATATATATATATATATATATATATATATATAATATTTTACTATGTGACCTTGTTTTCTCAACAAAATAATTCTAATTTTTCCTAGAAACATAAATCCCAAGCAATTATTAACTTGATAAAACCCTGATTACACGACTTTTATGCAATATTTATTTATGTATGTAAGTATGTATGTATTTATGTATGTATGTGTGTATATATATATATATATATATATATATATATATATATATATATATACTAACACTATTTTAGTCACTTAAACTTGTTTCTGTGTAATTATTTCTGAATTTACAAGCAGTTTCTCGGTAAAAATTGTTTCAATGGAAACCTTAAACCACTTTTGTTTTCTCAGTATAGTGTGTATAAATATTTTCATGAATGACTGTGTGCATGTGATTAGTGAAGCAACAAGTCAGTAACTTGTCTGATGGGTCGCGCTTGTTTATTTTTTAGGGTGAAGCAATCAGACTGGTTTTCCCAGTTTTTTGATTGTTGATCAAATGCTCATCACTGAAAAGATGTGCGACGGGAACACACAAACACACACACACACACACACTTGTACAACTTTTCTTGTGGAGAATTCCCATCGACATACTTATTCTATACTCAGGGTTCCCACTCTTTTATAAACACAAATTCAAGAACTTTTTAAATCACTAATATTTTAAATCGAGCAGCTTTGCAATTCACACCTCCAGCATATAAAACACCATAAAAGTCCTTCCTGTACTTAACATTTGACTTAATATTTACATTAAAATGTCATAATGAGGATGTTTTCAATGTCAATTTCAAAAATGAACAACCATTGTCATGTTCAAAGAACTTAGCAATTAGTTGAATTAAATACTGGTAATGGGCAGCGCGGTTGTGTAGTGGCTACTACGTCGCTGGTTCAAAACTTGACTGGGCCATTTGGTATTTCTGTGTGGAGTTTGCATGTTCTCCTCATGTTTGCGTGAGTTTCCTCCGGTTGCTCAGGTTTCCCCCGCAGGTCCAAAGACAAGCGCTACAGGTAAATTAGGTAAGCTAAATTGTCCGTAGTGTATGTGTGTAAATGAGAGAGCATGGAAGGGTAAGTTGGTGGTTCATTCAGCAGTGGCGACCCCTGATTAATAAATGTAAATTTTGGACTCATCTAAAGCATAAAAATACCATAATGTGTTTGCAGATTTTTAAGAAACAACAAGTGAACAACATGTTTATCTGAAACACAATGCTAAAGTCAGATTGTCTGCTTTGAAAATGTGAGTTACGTGCCGGGAACGTCTGTCTTTTTGTTTTGCCACTTTAGCTATTTATATTTCAGCACCCCAGGTTGTCTTGGTGGGAATTTCATTCATTCAGTCAGGAAGGCTCTCGAAGTGTTTCAAACTGAAATGCGATCTCCGGTTGACAGTAACAGCCCCGAAATGAGATACAGATTCAGAGTTCCACAAGAGGTGGTTATTAATTAGCAAGTAATATAAATAATACAAACGTAAACATTAGGTGAGCAGGTTACATTGTAACCCCATGTATTAACAACATGCTACGTGACGAGATTTGTAGTGGCTGTTTGCACCAGAAAACAACACAGAAATGTAAATACAGGCATTCAGAAGCACAGAATAGTGCACTCACTGCACTCCAACAAAATGGTAAGATTTATAATCTTATTGATACATATTAAACCTCTTTAACATTATTAAATGAAGATGCTGAATCACTGATAAGTGTTGGTTTGCAGTGAGCCACAGCTTTACAGTTCAGTTTCAAAGGGTTTATTTTATTTGCAAGATCTGAGGTGAACTACCTGCTGCTGCTTTCAGTAGTATGGCAATAAATGTCATGTAAACCGGCATTCAAACTCATTATTAGCGTTTAACACTGAATCAAGCACATGAGGTGAGCTAAAACATTGTCAGTTTTCTGTTGTTTACCTGTGACAAATAGAAGCCGTTTCTAAAAAATAAATTTCAGGTGTTGGTTATGACAAAATTTCCATTTAATATGGAAAATATTCCTTCTATCGCCTGCCATTTCTTTCAGTTAGAACACGACTTAAATAAGCCTTTAGGCTCAATAGTTAGACACACTTCTGATGATGTCGTCAATCTGGCAATGTGCGCTTGCGTGTTTAAAACCAGGTGTGCAATACCTCGTTCAACCACTGGGTGTCAAACTTACATCATGCACCTTTAAAACCGCTTTTCTACTGCATACGACATTTGGACACGACTGTCAGAGTACGCCTCGTTGAGGCAGTTGCACAGAATTTTCAGTGTTTTCGTGCACTATGGGAGAGCTGATTCTCATGGTGTCTGAAATAAATAGCAAAAAAGCCTTTGGGGGAAATGTGAAAACAACGTACAAAAAAAAATTATTAGACTTTTTTCTGATTCAAAAAATAACAAAAAATAAAAAATCTGATTTCTCATCTCGTGCACATGGACCTGCTTGGACAACATTGAAATACATCACATCCGGTCAGCCGGTCGCATATGGTCAAATCGCAGGAGTTCAAATATTTCAACGTATCCGAAACTCAAATTGAATCCAAATTTTCCCGCATACGGAGATGATCGGAACTCCACACAGCTCAGCAAATTATTAGTTTATGATCACTTTTAATTCATATCACACATTAAAGTTAATTTTATATAAAGTCATAGTGTACACAACAATCTCTGGGCTTGCTGCATAACAAATACCAAAATTTTAACAATTTATATAAAAATGAATCACTTTCTGGCCATCGGATATTTGGCATGGGCATATATATTGCGATCGTAATTTTTGAAAGTATTAAATCGCTTTGTAAACGTTTACAATCACCATTTCACGAGTCTCCCTATAGAGTTAAATAGAGCGCTTCGACCCGGAAGCCGCTTCGAGTGATGTCGCACTAAACAAGCGGATAGTTCAGATATAAGACTTGAATGTAAGATTTTTAAATTAAGAATTTATTAATGTTTTCGTTCACTTTTTGTAAGCAGCACAGTACAATTGTTGAAATATCACCATAAACTTTAAATTCAAGCACTTTCAAGAATCTATGTTTGTTTTTGAGTACATACCAGGCCTTCAATTCATGTCTGAAATTCAAGTACTTTTAAGAAGCGTGGGAACCCTGTATACTGTACACTGAAATAAAAATACATTCGATTTAATCAATTTTTTGAGTAAACTAAGTGGTTGCAAACACTTTACAAGGGCTGAATTTAAACAAACAAATTAAATCTAGTAATGTTCAACCTAAATTCTGTTTAAATTCAGTCCATATTTATTGTTTGCGACCACTTACCTTAAAAAAGATTGAGTAAATCCAATTAATCATTTCTTTTAGAGTACACATTTTCCCTAAACCCAACTCTCATAGGAAACCATCAGCATTGTTTAAAAATACTTATAATTATATGTGATGTATGAGCCACATTTTTTTGTGATGTATTGAGCCACATTTGTACCAAATAATGTCTCCACAAAGTTAAAATTGACCGGTTTTGTTATACTTTGTGAGCACATTTGATCCCCGCAATGTAAGGAATACAAGCACACACACACACACCTTTCCCCACTGATGTTACTTTCTGAGAAATCTGAGTAACAAAAGAAAACTCCTCTGTTGTGTCAATCACAGGCAACATGTAAACCAATGCCAACAGATTTGAACTTCCTGAAAACTTCTTCTGAGAACTGCAGTCCAACAGGCTCCTTCTCGAAAGCCATGTTGAAATGAGCTCATATTACAACATTCAAAGAAAAAAATAACAACCAAGCCATTGCACTACAGTACATGCAAGCTTTAATGGGCTTGAATTTGGTTATGATCGAGTTATGACTGAAGTAAGACCTCGGTGTTCACCAGAATCAACAACTCAATCTAAATGCTTCACCATTGAAGCCTCGAATTAATCACATCAGCAACTTCTAATCACATTCATTTATTAACTTCGATAAGATAATCAGCTTCAATATGGATTTAGTCTTCAATTATAGTACATGACGGAGCTTTTCGATAAATCACGTTTTATTTTTAATCAATGAATAGCAGGTATGTGTGAAATGTGAATGACTGGACTGACAAAGATGTGTTGGCTTTGACACACCTGCTTTTAGGAGTAATCTCAGGTGTTTATGCAATAAATCTAGCACTGCTGAAGGCCTTTGGACCACACAATCACATAAAACTGCACTTTTACTATTATCAAGTTTAAGTATGTTGTAAAAACACCTCAGGAGTCAAAGAGCTAGAGATTGGCAAATGGGGTTTTCCATTAATGATTGGGAAACTGGAAAAACAGATCACACAAAAACAACACTACACAAATAATATAATATAATATAATATAATATAATATAAAATAATATAATGTAAAATAATGTAATAAAACATTATAATACATATATTATATCATATATAATATGGCGTAGCTTCTCTATATTTACTGTATATTATTTGTTTGAATCAAATTTTTGTATTTTATTTATTTCATAAAGGTCTGATAACATTTTATATATATATTTCAAACAAAATATAGCCATTTTTTTATTTTTACAAACCAAATATAGCCATTTTTAGCATTTTTTTTCCTTCAACAACAGGAAAATTGGATAAATATTTTCAGTCGTTGTGACTGAAAATCAGTAAATCAAGGTCAAGTATATAAGCTTTACAATATCAACACAATACAATAATTAATTAGTTATTTTTTCTTGCTGGTTTTTATTATTACATCTTTATTAACACTTAAGAATCGTTTAAATGTAATATCTGACTATAAAAAATACTATATTAATAGGCTACTTTTGTATTAATTTGTATTAAATAATCAATATAAATAACGTACAGAATATTGATATATAAATCGAAAAGGTATCCTTACAATACAAATACAATACAATATTTAATTATTATAATTTTTGCTGGTTTTTATTATTAACACCATTATTAATACTTAAGAATCGTTTAAAATGTATTATTTACATATCAAACAAACAATAATTCAATCCGACTATAAAAATACTATAATAATAGGCTACTTTAGTGTTAATTTGTATTAATTAATTAATATAAATAACATATATTAATATATAAACCAAAAAGGTGTCCTTACAATACAAATACAATACAATGTTTAATTACTGTTTTTCTTTTTTTTTTTTGGGGGGGGGCTGTTTTTTATTATTAACATCATAATTAATACTTAAGAATAGTTTAAATTGTATTATTTCAATATCAAACAAACTCAAGACGACTATAAAAGTACTATATTATTAGGCTACTTTGGTATTCATTTGTAGTAATTAATGTAATGTACTAAATATATATAATTTTTTAAAAAGTAGCCTATTAATTTAAACTAAATCGCCTTACCTTGTGAGGCGGACCTCGGGATAAAGACCAAGACGATGAGACAGATCAATATCCGCATTATTATTACCACAGAGTTTGTATCCAACATTCACATATTAAATATTTAAGTAAAAAGGCCTAATCCAGTCGAAATGACTTTTCTTCACGACAAAGTAAATCCCATGTTGAGATCTGTACGTTAGTTCCTAGGAAGTTCTTCTCGGAAATGACGTGTTTTGTGTCACGCTTGCCCTTAGGCGCAACTGAGGTGTTTACCGGTAAATTCACAGGTAACTATAAACTCCCATATTCACTCTCTTCCACTGAGCCTTATAATGGTGCTTTTAATAACCTCAGGTGAGTTCATTACAGTTTTGAATCAGAACATTTAATTACACAGGACCGAGCAGGTTCATTCGTATTAAACGCGAAAAGGGTTTAACTTTCGTTTGATGTAATTAAGGCAAGGCAGGTTTATTTTTACTGCACATTTCACACACTACCATCATTCAAAGTGTTTTACAAATATACAAGACAAAAAAAAGAAACAGCATACAAGTGTATTAAAGTACAAAATACAATCATTTTAGCAGCAGAGTCATTCACACATGACAAAAATATATAACGTTAGTTTGTATATGTTAACGTATAGTAGAGGTAAAGTTGGTAGATATTCAGACATTCTCCTCAATAATGTAATTTCAGAAAAGTATTCTTTGCTAATTCTAAACAGGGAAATCATATTAGCAGCCAATGATTATCAAAGTACAGCATTGTTTACAGGTGCTAATGTTGTTTTGCAGTCCTTGCATGCTAATTCTGACCGAATATTCAAATCAGCGTGGTAAACAATATAGAGACGGTTAAATAAACGAATGTGCGAATTTAAAACCAACTTTACCTCAATTAGTATTTACAACTTTGTTAATGAATGCTACATCGTAGCTAACTATTGTAAATTGTACTAAATACTGTAGTATAATTTAGTTTACAGTAAACCGTGGTGTATTGTTGTATAAGATACCCTAAGGTTGTAAAAACACAGTGTTGGGTCATTTGTTTATACTATTATACTTGTTATTATAGTCTACTGTTATTGCAGCTATAGGATTGCCACATCATATTAATTCAAATGCTTTACTTGTGCTGATCATGTTTCAAAAACACTCGTGTTTGTTATGATTCACTTTAGTAGGCTATTTTATCATGTGGCTATTTCAAGATTCAGTTTACATTGGGATGCCCTCTAGTGTTAACATCACTGTAACCTCATCTGCTTTACATTAGAAACGGATCAGCGAGGTGAGAAAAATCTGAAGTTTTTGTCCAAGTTGCCTTATTACTTTTTGAAGTGTACTATAAATGTATCAGTTTGACTTACAAAGTGGTTTTATTTATGGATTGCAACCCTAAATTATCGAAAAAGGGACTAAACTAAAATCCTTAAAGGATGTTATAATTAGTAATTAACTACTGCAATACAATAATAAGTAACTGACGCGACACTGATTGTAAAGTATAATTTATGAGTCTCAGTTTTTGTAGACTTTGAGTTGAACAGATGCATTTATGCATCTTACACAGCAATTTAAAATGTCTTATTTATCTGAGTTTATATTATTTTTTAGACTGGAATTATGTATTTCTTTATGCAGACACCTCAGCAATATATTGCAAAAATCATGTTTAAAACTAGATTGAGACAGAATGTTTTGCCAATTTCTGAAATCTCGTCATCCTAAGACCAATATCAATTGGTGAAACCTGCATAACCCATACATTTTAAAAGATGTAATAATTAGTAATTAACTACTACTTAAAATACAATAAGTAACTTACTCTACACTGATTGTAAAGTATTATTTGTGAGTGTCAGTTTTTTGTAGACTTTGAGTCGAACAGATGCATTTATGCAGCAACTTACACAACAACTTAAAATGTTGTATTTATATGAGTTTATTTGATTTTTTAGACTGGTATTATGTATTTCTTCATGCAAATACCACAGCAATATATTGCAAAAAAATATGTTTAAATGTGGATTGAGACAGAATGTTTTGCCAATTCTGAAATGTCGTCATCCTCAAAATAAGCATGTAAGTCCTCATAATGCTCTTAAAAGATCTTTAAAAATCTTAAATTACACTTGGTGAAACCTGCAGAACCGTGTAAATACATTTTTAAGGATGTAATTAGTAATTAACTACTTCTTACAATAGAATAAAGAGCTTATTTAACATAACCCAGACATAATGTTTTGCCAATCTCCAAATGTTGTCATCCTCAAAATAAGCGTATAAGACCATCCTCATAATGGTCTTAAAAGCTCTTAAAAATCTTACATTTCATTTGGTGAAACCTGCAGAAACCCTTTTAATTAGATTTTTAAGGATGTAATTAGTAAATTGCGACAACTTTTTTGAATTAATTTACTCAACACCGATTGTAAAGCTAATTTGTGGGTGTCTTTTTTTTTTCCTTTCTTTTTGTAGACTTTAAAGCGATGCATTTTAACTTACAAAACTATTTGGCAAAACATTCTGTCTCAATCCAGCTTTAAACAGCATTTTTGGATTATATTGCTGTGGTGTCTGCATGAAGAAATACCTACAGTTCAGTCTAAAAACATCATATAATCTCATATAAATCAGACATTTTAAATAGTTTTGTAATTTAGTGCATAAAATTAAATGCATTGGTTTAATGTCTTATTTATATGATTTTTTTAGACTGAACTCGTGTGTATTTCTTCATGCAGATACCTCAGCAATATATTGCAAAAATGATGCTTAAAGCTGGATTGGGATAAAATGTTTTCCTAATTCCGAGATGTCGTCATCCTTAAATAAGCATCTCAGCACAACATGTCAAAACTGTGCGGTAAAATCAAGGCTGAGGCTCATCTCCGACTTCACCCTGTAATACAGTATGTTCTGGCATCGCCGCGAGCTGTAGATCAGACATGGAGAGAGATTACTGTAGAACTGACCCTTCCCTCGGGATTTGAAGTTTTCTGCGTCACTTATATAACACACACACCAGAGCTGGATCAGTCTGGAACGGCCTAAAACTGAGGGGAAAATCACTTTAGGGCGATTTTGGATGCACGTGAGGGCATATGTTAGCATATTTATAATTATGATAATATTTTACTGGAAAAAATGCTTGGTTGTGATAACCCAAAGTTGAGTCAAATATGAATGTTGGGTTAATTTCTATTTAATTTAGATTAAACCTTTAAAGCCAATGTCCATATTTGAAGCGACATTGTGTTACAACAACACAACATTTTTTATAGTGTTATTTAATATGTTATTAGTTAGTTAGCAGTATGTATTTGCTTCAAAAGCAAAGAATATTTTAGTTTTATTAGAAATTAAATTTGATCTGCAATGTCATACCAAACTCTTTACAACAAATAAGAATAAAAAACACTCATTTCTAAATTAAAAGCAAAGATGCATGACAGGGTTTGACTAAAAACTTAATAAATAAATAAATAAATAAATAAATCAGGCACTCACTGAATAAATTAAGATTAAATGAAAATTAAGATTTCCTTTCATGCATTCCTGTATTAATTTACTATTACATGTTCATACCAAACTCTTTACAACAAATAAGAATAAAAAAACTCTCATTTCTAAATTAAAAGCAATGATGCATGACAGGGTTTGACTAAAAACTTAATAAATAAATAAATAAATAAATAAATAAATAAATCAGGCACTCTATGAATAAATTAAGATTAAATGAAAACTAAGATTTCTTTTCATGTATTCCTGTATTAATCTAATGTTAACACATTTTGTATTTATTATCCTGAATTAATATTGGTAAAATATCAATAAATATGGTGTATATATATATATATATATATATGTATTTATTTGTAGATTTTTAAATGGATATAATATTATTAAACATTAGTGAGTAGTTATTGAATATTTATTACTAGTTAATTAATCATTATTACTGTTTTGTTTGCATGGATATATTTATTTGACCATAAAACACCAATATTCATCAAAATATTCATTTAAAATATTATTGTTTTTATTATAAACAGATTCGCTGATCAAGGTTAGTGATCAGTTTTAAAACATTCATTAGTTTTCATTATGCTTATTCTCTATTTCAGGTCACCACAGTGGAATCAACCGCCAACTATTCTGTTGTACCGCTAACTATTCTGATGTTTGGACTGTGGGGGACACCAGAGCACCCGGAGCAAACCCACGCCAACACGGGGAGAACATGCAAACTCCACACAGAAATGCCAACTGGCCCAGCCGGGACTTGAACCGGCAACCTTCTTGCTGTAAGGCGACAGTGCTAACCATTGAGCCTAGTTTTAAAACATTTAGCTAATTTAGCATTAGATTGTATTATGGGATGTTGATATTTGCTGTCTTGACATTTGATGTTGAAAATTCAACTCTACAGTTTAACAAAGTGACTTTAATTGGCATTTTTAAGATCATATAATGTTTACGGAATAATAACATGGAGAAATAAGTCTGAAGAATAACAGAAAATGTACTGGCAGTTTAGTACAAGGTTTTGTTGCATCATATACAACACCAACCCAGACAATATATCACTTTAAACTATTAAAAATGTTCATAAAAGTCACTTTTTTTACTTTTTAATGTTAAAAGTTGCTAAACGAAAGATCAAGGTCCCTTAAAAGCAGAAATAAGTGAGGAAAAATAAAACATAAATCACTAAATACGGAAAACCTGCATATTTAGATATTTTTTTACAGTCTAGGTTGTCAGTGAGGTATTAAGACGGAACCCTAAAGTGCCAATAAAACAAACACACAGTAGTAAACACATGGAAGAAGAAGCAGAAAGCGGTGAGTTAAGCCTCTCAAAGGATTACAGCTGCTGTGCATTACGGAAGCAGATGTGGAGTGAATGTGATCAGTGAACAAACAAGGTGACAGGTGATGCTGAATACAGTGTGACTAAACGACAATCGTGCACATGATTAGAAACAAACGGAAAAGCCAACACTTTTTTCAATTGTTGTTTATTGAAGTAAAACGATTTATACATTACATTAATACAGTGCAGCCGTAAAGTATTGATAGCGCTTTACTTTTTCCACATTTTTCTGTTACAGCCTTATTCCAAAATATTCATTCATTCATTTTCTTGTCGGCTTAGTGCCTTTATTAATCCGGGGTCGCCACAGCGGAATGAACCGCCAACTTATCCTGCACATTTTTACGCAGCGGATGCCCTTC